AATGCATACCATTACATATTTGGCCAAATAAATGCATATAATTGCATATTTGGAATAAAAATTATGCATATATATGCGCATATTTTGATTGAATTCAACTGCATATATTCCGCGCTTTAGTGATCACTTTATTATTCACTCTTCTCGAGCAGTTTATACCGGTTCTCAATAGTCTATTAGTTCATTGTAATTCTTACATACCTGTTAGGAATGGACCCGGTATTTTTTGGTGCCAGGTTGTGGCAGTGGTTGTGCAATGTCCTGAGTGCCCCTGGAAGGCTCTGCTGTAATTATGTCCAATACTTGTTCCTATGCGTCTAGAACCCAAACATCAATTGTCGTCCACTATCTTCCTGGAGCCACTTGTTGGCGTGAGTTCTTTCAGCTTCTGCTATGTTCCTGTAGCATTTCCCTTGAACTAATCTCATATCCCCAAATTCGTGAAAAGAAATTCAAAGTAAGTCACAGTTTGACAAATGCTTGGCAATTGACAAAAGGTGTCTACCTGTGACTATCTGTTAATGCCGAAAAACGTCATTGCCGCTTTGACTTTTCATCAAAAAATTGCAGAAGAGAACTATTTTAATATAAAAAATTATCGTAATTTGTAGCAAAGATCGTAATTTTTCTTTATCAATGCTTAAGTATTCCAATATGCTTCCAATTAAACATGGAATACTTTCAAAATAATGCTTCATAGCAAAGTTGAAATTCGTTTTCAACGGTTAATATCTTCTAGAAATAATCGAAATTTTTTTTTGCATATTTTTCTCGTACCCTCCAAGTGACCCGCTATTACCCCTTAAAAGAAATGACGCCAATTTTAAATCACCCTGTATACACAATATGTACATATACAGGGTGGCTTTTTTTGCTTTGTTGTTGTTCGCTTTATATAGAACTACCCATTTTTCATTAGCTCATAGAATGCAGTTTGAAGCGCTGCATATGAACCGTAAATTGTTTTTTCTTACTTGCGTTTGCAGGTTATCGCCATTTTAGTAAAATTTTGCTTAAGAACATAGTATCTAAAAATTCATTGTAGAAGCAAAAGAAAGCAGTTAGAGATAGAAAAAAACACATCTTTCCAATCACCACAGATCCGTTAAGAATTCTATTGAACCAAAATATCAATACATTGTACAGGGTGTTCACAATGTAGACTTAACGCAATATAACTTTTGTTTTTCAAATGGAAGTACCTGTATATTAATACGTGATTAGATAGACAATTTACTAAGTTACAAGTTTGCATTTACACTTTAAGCTGTGAAATCAACTGTTTTCAAATTATAATTTATTTTATTTAGAAATTTAAAAAGTTGCTACGTTTTGTAAGTTATGGAAGTTAAGTAAGGCTATGGAAGTCAATAAATAAGTGCAAAATTTGAATTGCCACGTTTAATTGATCATTTACCTAATTAAATCAAGGAAATAATGTGGTATTTACATGATGGAGCTGCAGTTCACCATAGGGCTCAAATTCATAAGTACCTAAATAATTAATTTTCTCAGAGGTGGATAGTCAGAGGTGGATCTGTTCAGTGGCCACTTCGTTCACCCGATTTGACAAAAATGGGTTTCTTTTTATGGGCTTACGTCAAAAACGAAATTTAGAAAATAACTCCAACCGCAAAAGATGACATGAAGGAACGAATCACAACTGTTTTTCGAAGCATTAATAGTATTGTTTTGAAGTGCGTTAGCGTTTCATTTCAAAAACGAAGATATTAATAGTTGCTTAAATGTTAACGGAAAATATATTGAACATTTATTTTAAAATATCACTGCAGGTATAATTTTATATTTTTATTTTTATAGACGAATGTAGTTTTATTGCATTTTTTGCTATGAAATTTCATGCATTTTATAAAACGTTGCACTTTTCTCCATTTATGTCAAGTATCATCAAAATTATTTTAAAACTTATTTAATCAATTCCATAGCCACCTTACAAAATGTAACAACTTTTTGAAATTTTTAAATAAAATAATTTATAATTTGAAAACGGTTGACTTCACAACTTAAAGTGTAAATGCAAATTTGTAACTTTGTAAATTGTCTATCTAATGACGTATTAATATACAAGTGCTTCCATTTGAAAAAACAAAAGTTATATTGCGTTAAAAAGTTTTAGATTGAAGTCGACATTGTTAACACCCTGTACAATGTATTGACATTTTGGTTCAACAAAATTCTTAACGGGTCTCTGGTGATTGGAAAGACTTTTTTTTTGTATCTTTAACTGCTTTTTTTGCTTCTACATTGAATTTTTAGATATCATGTTTTTAAGCAAAATTTTAATAAAATGGCGATAATCTGTCGCAAGTCAGAAAAAAACAATTTAAGGTGCAAAAGCAGCGTTTCATGAGCTAATGAAAAGTGGGTAGTTTGATTTAAAAAAATTCCACTTTTATCTTGCCTCCCTTCTCTGAGACACTGAGATATTTTTAAAATGTGCGCACTTTGTGCGTCAACAACTTTTATAGAAAACTATTTTTTGAAAGTTCAACACTAACGGAAATAATGGACTCTGTCGCATTAAAAAACCACCCTGTATTTACATACCTAGGATATAACTTTTATGAACTTTGATGAATATACATAGATGTATATTCCACGAACATTCATGTTAGGAATGTTCACCCATGTATATTCCCAGGATATTCCCGCAATATTCTGTATATTTTTTGAACATTCTGGGATATTCAGGGAATCTCAATGCCATCTGGGTAACATACTTTGAGATTGGGATAACGGTGTCACCTTGCCGTCAGTGCTGCCACTTTTTTGGGGCAAATGAGTGAAACACCTAAATCCGTCACAGCTGTCATCCAAATCTACCTGTTAAAGGTTATGGATCAGTATTGTTGAATCAGAAATATTTGAATGTGGGTATTTATCCTCTAACGTGTTTTGATTAAGTTTTATATTGTCGAATAATTATTATATTCATATCTTGGCTGGGCCTCAGTCAAAGTGTGAAG